AATCACTGTTCTGGCATAAAACATGTAGTAGTAGTAGTACTATAGCTGGCCACTCATATTTGAGGATACCTGTCTACTAGCTCAGCTATTCAATCCCTATTACAGACGCCCGCTCAGGCACATCTGTGTTTGTCCAACACCCACAGAGCCCACCTGTGGTTTATACTGCAACTATGCAAAGCAGACCTTAGTTACAGTTTCTGGGAAAGAGCATGTTATCTAGTGTGATCAACAATCTGATCAAGGCCAGCACGCTCAAACCCTTGGTCACAATGACTTGTGACTTCATGCTGGCACAGCTAATGACATCCGCCAAGGGAACCATCTATCCAATTTCACTCACATGGCTTTGGTCAACCCATGGAATGGTTTTCAGGCACTTTCCAAAGGTGCCGCACGCTGGCATCATCCTCCTCCAGACTGATAACATCAGGAAGTCTCCTTACTGACAAATTGACCATGTTGAGATTTGAACCCAGGTCTCATGGATGGAGCCCTGGGGGACACCTGAATTAGTATGAAAGACACATATTGATCAAAATATCATAAACAACCATAATATGACAATTGACATAATCAATAGCTAATGTCAAGCTATTACACAACACCCACTGTAAAGCACAACTCAAAATACACAAAGTTATTATCATAGATATAACATTATTATTATAGAAAAATTATTTATATTAGATAAATTAAAATGCATATTTATATGTTAGATTTATGTCATATAGAAATTATTATTACAGGAAATTACATTATTATAAAAAAAAATTATTCACATTAGATAAATTAAAATGTATAAAGTTTATATGTGAAATTTATGTTACATGGAATTTATTATGATCAGAAATTACATTATTATCATAAAAAAAAACAATGAAACAACCCACACTAAATAAATATCTTTTACCCCAAGGTTTGGTATTTGTAAATGTGCATAAAATATTTAAAATGCATATAAAATATTTAATATATTTTCAGGTGCTGTCAAGCTCAATGTAACCGTTCTACACAAGATGTTACTTAAACAATACATACATATTTAAATTTGAAATATATATATTAGAGGATACATATACACTTATTTTGAAATAATATAACTTGTCCTATATAATCTTTCTATCTATCTAGACCTATCTATTTATATATACAGGGCCAGTGCAAGAGTCGCTTATGCCCGACCCCTGAATCTTTGATACAGGGGCCCTCCACTCTCCTACATCACATTTTCATAAGGTAGTATTCATATAAAATACAAATTTTATTGTCACCTAATTATGTACAATAATGAATCATATGTAATATAGGTAAAAATTGATAATAAATACAATGTATCTACATATAAATTAGAGACACGTCATAATAGATCATTCCAACTTAAATAAATCAACAATGTTTTGCAGCAACTTTTAACATCAACTTGAGATTTTTCTAGTTAAAAAGTTGAATAATTTAACATATTTAACATTATGGTAAAAAACAGTGAATTTTATGTATGCTTCTTTTCAAGAGTAAAAACAAATTCACAGATTTTGTAAAAAAAAAATAAAAGACCCCAGAATGACATCAAAATCCACAAAATATTTTCATCCTTTATTAGTCAGTTGTGTCTAGTTATTTGTAATGTGTATAAAGGTAGATAGAAAAAAGAAAATATCTGTCTATATTTCTGAGATGAAGTATTATATACACTATTTACATTGCTCGGACTCTTTGGGTCCTGTCACTGGATCTAACTAATGCCTTTATCTACTGTAGCATGTGTCCTTGAGTGTGAGTTCAATACCTGGTTAAGGCGGTGGAGAACTTAGAGAGGGGAATTAACAGGAGATACCTGATAAGTGACATCCATTAAACATGGCACATGGAACTAGAACAGTCTACCCCAGCGAGCGAAATAAAGGGTTCAATTCGACGTTCCAACCACCTGAAGAAGGCTGGAGTGTACAACAGCCAAAACATTGTGATAAATATGGCAACAAAGATGAGGATGATGCCCAGGGAATCAGGGGTAGTACACGCTGGCCCCGTACATATATATTTCTTGGGTTTCAGAGGCATGTAGAATAAGTACAGTTACATGTTTTTGAAACTTTATAAAGACAAATTCTCACTCCTTCCACATACTAATTCTTTTATTATAATCTCAAGAGAAAAAATTATTTATGCTGCCAATAATTTGAAGAAAGTATGGTTGCAATACAAGGCTCAGTAAAAAGTGTCCCTATAAGTAGCTTAATACCATTTCAGTTAAAATCCACTATACCTTCACTTATAATTATATATTTATATTTACATGTGTGTAGATTGAGAAAGAAAGATAGACAAGCAAACATGTTTGTTGACATAAGAAATAATGCATGTTAGTAGGACATAAAATAGTATCTGATTAAAAGTGGAGAAAATGAGACCAAATGGAAAACTTTTATAAACAATGTGTTTCGCCTCGATGTGCTAGGTAGACATCTTCAGGTCAGAATGAAAAATATATCTGAGTGTAAGGGAAATGTGTTAGAATATTTTCAGAGAGGCTAATAAGTTACCTTATTTAGGGCCAGGTCATGCTTAGGCCTGTATCATGTAACCCAGTACAACCTGCTGTATGGACAGGTAGCTGGTGTCTAACCTAAGTCCCTGACTATTTTGCTTGTTGCTGAGGAGGCTGGCATGTCACCCCACAGAATAAAAGACAATACCTATCAAAGGGGAGATTAGCTCCTTATAGAAGCCAAAGGAGAGCCTGTCTACAAAACTCTGGAGTCAGGATGCTGAAGGCAACATCAATCAGCTAAGTGACAAATTTTATACTTGTATTAATTATATATATATATATATATATATATATATATATATATATATATATATATAATATGAGGTCTTAAGTCTTGAATGGCAACCTTCCTAGTGATGAAATGAATTGAGAAATGAGATTAGTTTCTGACATTATAAATATACCAGATCTATAAGATTGACATAAAAAAAAGTTGTTCAAATTTGTTTGTGTGTAGATCAAGTCAGGCTTAGGCTTGCTACTGGTAACGTGTAACCCAGTACAACCTGCCACATTGATGAATGGTTGACATCTAAACCAGCCTCACCGCTTGCTTTTCTGCTGGTTAGGAAGATGGCACGTCACCACACAGGATGAAAAACAAGACCTGTCAAAGGGTAGATGAGCTTCTCATAGGAGCCAACAGCCAACATGCATGTACACACACACACACACACACACACACACACACACATATGTAATATAATAATATAATATCTTATTTATCTGTTACTTTTTATGCAATGGCAATCATCAGGTGTTCCATCTGATGATTGCCATTGCATGAAACTCAGAGTAGCATATTTGATATTATTATCATTATATTTAGATTCTGCGATTTTGCCATTGAGCCCTCAGTTTATTTTATATTTTAAACTTTTAGATTATTTGAAGCTTTAGCTTTTATTCTTTATGCGTATATATATATATATATATATATATATATATAAAAGCATATATATATTCAAGTCTTGAATGGCAACCTTCCTAGAGACAGTATTTCAATAAAATCTCTGTATATTTGAACTACTGTGCATGTCTAAATTAGGTGTCAGGTAGAGTATCTGGCTTTCTAAAACCTTGCCTTAAATCATTATGACAAGAGAGATCCTTTCTGAAGCAGAATCCACCTTGCTTTGGGTAAGATTAATCTTAGTCCTGCCTCAGTCCAAAAAAATGTATGTATGTATGTATGTATATATGCAGGTTCAAAGACCAGAAAATGCTTTTCTTTGTGTATGAAGCCGTTAATGTGTGGATTTGAAATTAGCCTACTCTAAGTAGATACATATTTTTCTTTTATGTACCATATCCCTTCAGGATATGGGTGATCATGGCTCTTCACACCTTCTTCTCTCTTGTTCCTCTTTGCAACATTTGACTCTTTACCATCCCTCTTTGTCCCTGCTCTACCATCCATTCAAATAAACACATTTGTTGCTGATATTGGCTCTCCACAACTTCCCCTGTCTTGTTCCTCTAAACAACATTTGACTCATTACCATACTCTTTGTCCCTGTTCTGCCATTCACTCAAACAAACTCTCTGGTTCACTGTGCTCCTCTTGCCTTCACTTGTCCTGTGAGTGTTAACTTCTCCAAGCCCTCTTTCCTCATATGTCTCAGAAATTTACTTCCTATTTTCCTTAAAACTTCTTCTCACTTCACAAAGATCCATGATGTTCTCAGCATCTATCTCTAAAATAACATCTCTGTTGCTCTGAGCCTCATCAAGGAATTTTGATATCTATTATATTTTAATTAATATCTAATTTTATTTTGCTAAGAGTTACAAAGGATAGGAAATTATGGAGAACCAGGATCATCCATGTCCTGAAGGGACAAGGCACATACAAGAACATTTTTTTAACTATATATTTCCATTAAATTGAAAATTTTACATAAAATAGTAATGATAATATTAGCTGTTTCCATTATAAGGAAACATTTAGTATACATTGACTGAGCAGCCAGTGCCACAATTGGTTGAAATTTATAAAATCTTTCTCTCAAAACAATCTATCATTTCCAGTAGCTGTTATTGCTCTTTGCAGTATTGATAAGAATTTCCTTCCTAACCTTCTTTAGAAGGAACTGGAAACCCAATCCTAAACAGGAAACAAAGGATAAAACTCTACTCCTGTTCAAAAGATGCAGAGGGTGTGTGAACTGGATGATAGGCAAACCTTGTTATATACCCATTCCCACATACATTCATTTGCATATTGTCAAACACCTTTTGTGTTTCATTTATTTCTATAAAATAAGTTTGTGTGTGTGTGTGTGAGAGAGAGAGAGTGTGAGAGTGAGAGACACACAGTGGCAAATATGTGATATTGGCATTAAAGAATTTAAATATTTATATGATTATAATGAGTACAAGAAAAGAACTAGGAGGAGGATTGTATTTATAATGCTGATCTGAAATGGAGAAGATTCTTTTTCACCTATACTGGAGCTCTAATTACTGGCTCTAGAAGGAAGTTCATGGAATGAGATATTGAAAGATGAGAAAATAGACTTTGATAGATAAACAGATTGAACAAAGAGAGCTTGTTAGATATGAACAGAATGATTAAGAATGCATTAAATATGAAGAGACGTGGAAACAGATTGTGATGTACATACAGACAGAGATAGATGAATAGGAACTGACTGTAAGGAAAAGATAGGTGAGAAACATATATATTAACTTAGATTAATTGATAGATAAGAACATAATGATAGATAGGAAGAAAATTTGACAGATAATGTGATAGCTAACTAGAGAGATAGAAACCAGATATAGCAATAGAGATACAGAACTGAGATAGATAAGAATGATAGATAGATAGATAGATAGATAGATAGATAGATAGATAGATAGATAAGAACAATATAGACAGGGATAGATAGATAGATAGATAGATAGATAAGAACAATATAGACAGGGATAGATAGATAAGAACAATATAGACAGGGATAGATAGATAAGAAAAATATATACAGAGATAGATAGATAGATAGATAGATAGATAAGAACAATATAGACAGGGATAGATAGATAAGAAAAATATATACAGAGATAGATAGATAGATAGATAGATAGATAGATAAGAACAATATAGACAGGGATAGATAGATAAGAAAAATATATACAGAGATAGATAGATAGATAGATAGATAGATAGATAGATAGATAAGAACAATATATAGATAAGAACCACACATAGAGGGATAAATAGATAAGAACAATATATACAGGGATAGATAGATTAGAACACTATATTGATAAGAACCATACATGCATGGATAGATAGATAAGAACAATATATACAGAGATAGATATATAGATAGATAAGAACTATAGATAGATAAAACCATTAGATAGATCTGAACAATAGTTAGATAAGAAACATAGACATATAAAAATACCTAGGTAAAACAATAGATAGATAACAATAATACATACAGAAATAGATAAGAACTATAGATAAAAAACACAGATATATAAAAAAAAATACCTAGATAAAAAAAAAATAGATAAAACAATAGATAGTTAAAAGCAATAGATAGGTAGATAAAAACAATATATAGATAAATAAGAACAATAGATAGAAAGATAGAGATAAGAACAACAGATAAATAGATAAGAAGATAGTTATTAATATATAAATAGATAGATAAGAACAATAGATAAATATGAACAACTGATAGATAGATATGAACAAGAGATAGATAAGAACAATAGATAGAAAGACAGATGAGTACAATATATAGGTAGATAAGAACATCCAATAGATAGATAGATACATAGATAATACACCTGATAGACAGATATATAGATAAGAACAATATATAGAAAGATAAATAAAAACATCCAATAGGTAGGTAGTTAGATATGAACAAGAGGTAGATAAGAACAATAGATAGAAAGATAGATAAAAACAATAGATAAATATAAACATCTGATAGATAAAGAACAATATATAGATAGATATGATCATCCAATAAGTAGATAGATATGAATAAGAGATAGATAAAAACAATAGATAGATAGATAGATAGATAGATAAGAACAATGGACAGAAACATAGATATATAGTTAATAACAATAGAAATATAGATTGATTTTTTTAATCAATATCACCCCATACAAGACAGTAAAGCCACTAAGACACAAGAGGTTACAGGGTTTGGAAGAATTAGGAACATAAACATTAATAATGAGCAGAAAGGACAATCAGGAGGACAGTAGATAGTGCCTGACACTGCATTTAAATTTTTACAGATTAAAATAGAAAGCATGGAGCCAGAAGTGCGAGAAAGAAAACTGTTAGCATAGAACTTATGGCTACATCTAGCCAGCTCCACTGTAAACTGATAAGATCTCAGTACTAGTGTCGTACAGTACTTAAATTAAAAAAGTTTAGGTATCATAGTAAAGAGCTCATCCAGACAATTACCATGAAAGTATTTATAGAGAAGACTTAAACAATAGACTTAGAAAGATAGGTATATAGATTGGAACAATAGAAAATATAGCTAGATAGAAAGATAAGAACAATAGATAGGAACAAAGATAGATAGATAGATAAATAAGAAAAGAACAATTGATAGATATATAAAAACCATAGATAGATAAGAACAATAGATAGATATATAAAAACCATAGATAGATAAGAACAATAGATAGACAGACAGAACAACAAAAGATAGATAGTTAAGAACAATAGAAAGATAGATAGAAAGATAAGAACAATAGATAGGAACAAAGATAGATAGATAGATAGATAAATAAGAAAAGAACAATAGATAGATATATAAAAACCATAGATAGATAAAAATAATAGATAGATAGAACAACAAAAGATAGATAGTTAAGAACAATAGAAAGATAGATAAGAACAATAGATAGGAACAAAGATAGATAGATAGATAAGAAAAGAACAATAGATAGATATATAAAAACCATAGATAACAATAGATAGACAGACAGAACAACAAAAGATAGATAGTTAAGAACAATAGAAAGATAGAGAGATAAGAACAATAGATAGATGAAAACAAGAGATTGGTAGATAGATAATAACAAGACATAGATATATAAAAATATGACATAGATCGATAGATCAATAAGAACAAAACTTGATTATGTATAAGGGTGATGATAAACTGAAAAAGATAGAAATAGTGACCTTAACTATTTGGTTGATTCATGGCAAACACACATCGGTGAAAGTATATAAAAATAATGACAGAAAAAACATTTGCTTGTTTTTTTACTAATCATACAATAACAATAAAAACAATGAAAGCAGAATTGTGGGTTAGATTTATGACAGTTGCTTAATGAATAAAGCAAACAATATGTTTGCTTTGCAGCAATCAAACAAAAGAGCAAGGGAACCCTCAGTGTTTCTCTTGTTGATTGCTGAAATCATGCATCTCTGAGTGTTGTGCAAGACATGGTTTGGATTTTATCGTATCTTTCAAAACGGCCTTGAAGTTTGTCTCAAGTTTCAAGGCTGAGGAGAAACTTGGTCAAATTCTTTGAAGCAAAGTGTTAAAATGGAGGACTGAACAGCTGAAGGAAGAAACAGAGTGGGAAAAAAAGAGACGGTTGATAAAGAGTCAAAGGAAATGAGATGGAGAAAAGCAGGAGAGGCATAGACAGAGAAAGAGAGTGAAAGGATGCTTCTAATTGCAAATACACACACACACACACACACTCTATCTCTCCATCTCACACATACACTCAGATATGCATAAGTGTATGTATATGTGTGTGCATGTATATGGATATATGTGTGTATACATGTGTGTGTATACATATGTGTGTGCATATATATGTATATGTGCGTATATGTGTGTGTGTGCATGTATATGTATATGTGTGTATACATGTGTATGTGTGTGCATGTATATGTATATACGTGTGTATATATATGTGCATGCATGTGTACATATATATGTGGGTATATATATGTGTGCACATGTGTATGTATACATGTGTGTGTGTATATATATATATATATATATATATATATATATATGCACATGTTTGTGTGTGTGTGTGTGTGTGTGTGTGTATTTTTCATTTGATCAGATTTAAGGAAGTGGGTCAATCTAAGATCTTTTAAACACTTTCTAATTATCTCTCTTTCTCTCTCTATTATATATAACTTTCTGTTAAGTAAAACAGATAAAGAATGTCTATTGAATTTTTTGATAAGTTTCTCCTCGTGTCAGATTAATCAGTTCATCTTAGGTGGATATATGTAAATAAACTTGACAAAATTAAATGTTGATATCCGATTATTTTCCACCATCGGTGTTAATTTTCAAAGTTTATTTGTGCATTTTTGCTCCTAGTGCAAGTTTGAATTATTCTAACTTCAATATCTGTCTATATTTCTGAGATGAGGTATTGTAATTATTTACATTGTTCAGACTGTTGTCCGCAAGGACACATGGTTCAGTGGATAAAAGCGTTGGTTGGATCCAGTAGCTTGAACCAAAAGACTTGTGAGTTCAGTACCTGGCTACTGCAGTGGTAAACAACAACTTAGACAGTTGAGTTAAAGGGAGATAATTGAGAAGCGGTATGGCATGTGGAACTAGAACAACCTACCCTGGTGGATGAAATAAAGGACTCAGTTCGAAATTCTAATCACCTGAGTGTACAACAGCTGAAACGTCATGAACATGGCAACAAAAATGAGGACAACGGTCTGAACAATGTAAATAATGTAAATAATTATTCTAACCTCCTTCCAAAATGGATCTAATTTTCCTAACAGTTCAAAAAGATCCTCATGCCATACATTATCAAATGCTTTTGTGTAATCCAGGGTTTCTCAACTGGTGTTCTCTGGAACCCTAGGGTTTCACAAGAGGTCACTAGAGATTCAGCAAGAAACAGAGATAAATAGGCTAATGCATTTTGGAGTAATTTTTTGCGATATACATACAGTATATTGTTGGAAAATCCTTGGTTATTATAATATAGGCCTCAACCTCTTATATTTAAAATTATAATAATCATAGGGAATGTATTCAGCAGTGTCTGTATAGCGTCAGTGTGAAACCATTTTCATTGGTTAGTGGACAGGACATGTACTGGTGAATTCACATATCATTGAATGACTCATTCAAGTACAGGGTGCATGTCCATATATTATGCTTACAACGTGAACTATGATAAAGATATAAAAGAAATAGATATTAATAATCTTTAAATATAATATGCCAGATATATAAAGTTTTTGTTTTGTATGTAATGGTTGAGGGTCAGTGTGCAAAATTTTGACATGGGATGCACAGAAATCATGACCCTATTCATGTCCACATGCAAAAAGCTACTGCGCTGACAAACTACAAAGCAACCCCTTTCTTTCCCCCTCTCGGCGAACTGTGATCAAAATGAAAGGAGTGATGTAAAGTAGCCATAAAAAGAAACAGATACACAACTGCAAAGAAAGAAAGAATGACAGAAAGAAAAAAAGAGGGGGGAAATAGAAAGTGAGAGAGAGGCGATAAATATATGGCCCAGGTTTGTATTTTATTTCAGCTTGAATTCAACTTCACATAAAGTTACTTTTCTTTGAGGTGTCTTGGACTGTGGGATCGACTATCACTAGTGACGATGTTCTAATTTCTCAGCAAATTTAACTTTCAAGAACACCCAAGGTGTGTCACAAAAGTGTATGTCCAAAAGCAATAAGGATCAAATACAGATATCTTTCCTGAGGTGTTTATAAATTGTACACTGTTCAATTATTAATCTTAACAACAAACTATTTTAAATTACAAAATTGTGCTTGCATTAAATGAAAAATTACTTACAATATAATACATGTAACTTATAATAGATTCCTTCTTGTCATCAATTTTGACAGCACAGGTACACTAATGGTATATAATAATTTTATAATTTATGCAGGGGTTCCCTGAGACATGAAAACTATTTCAAGAGTTCTACAAGACTACAAAGGTTGAGAAACACTGGTTTGATTTGTTTTACGGCATATCAACCTCAATGGGTTATTTAATGCTGACAAATTTTTTATTGCTGGTAATGTTTTTCTTCAAAAATCTATTTCTGGAAATATTTTTCCTTGAAGAAATCTATAGCTGGTAATATTTTTTTCAAAGAATGTATAGCTGTTTGTATTGCTGGCACTTTTTTTATTAGAGTATTGCTGATAATAATTTTTCCTTCAAAAATTATTGCTGGTAATATTTTTTTTTATTACAAAGTATTTCTGGTATTAAAACCTATTTTTACACAAGTTTGGGTGTCAACTATTTGCCCATAGCTGGGACCCTAACAGGTGCTACCACCCAAGGTCAGGGTGGACCTGGGAACACCAGCAATTAAGAAGTGGTTCCACACTCCTAAAAACCTCTTGATCAGAGGCCTTGCTGTTGGACATAGTTTATTATCTTATCCAGGATGGGAGAAACACTGATGTAATCTATGTAACAGAAGAGTATATCTGTTTGTATTTATTTTGCTCTCTTCAAAATCACTCAGATTATAATATAGCCTTTCTTATTCCACCATCCTTGACAAAACCACACTGTTCATGCTCTCTTACTGGTTTAATTCTGATTCTAATTCTAATTCTGCTTATCACTCTATTCCTCTAGTCTATGATTTTCAAAAATTAAACAAAGTATTAAGTAACAGTAAGATTTTCTTAGAAACAAAGAAAAGATATGAAATGCTTGAAGGGGTTGAAGCCCAATAACATTATGTCCTGTAAACGCATTTTCAATCCCTCCATTAGTGACGTTAAGAAATGTATTCTTTAATCCATTGGCCATATCACATTAAAACAATGTTTCTCATCTGATCACTAAAGTTAAGCAATGTTGAACCTGGTCAGTACCTAAATGGGTGATCACTCAGGGATACCAGGTGCTGTAAGCTTTGACGTGCAGTTAGTGTAACAAATAATGGCTTTGAATGAGAAATTAAAGAGCTGAATTCAAATTCCAGTTGGGTTTGTTATATTGACTTACATGCAAATACCCTTTGGAAAGGTATGAATCCATCATCTCTCCTCCCAGCTATGGGTTAAATAGTAAGATTCATATCAGAAAATCATTATTATCTACATAAAATTCTCACAATTGAAAAAAAAGGTTTTGGCTTTAAATAACCTTAAAAAGGTTGATAAGCCGTAAAAAAACAATCTATTTAATCTACTGTGGGTATTGCTGTGCAAAAACTAAGATATGTTAGTGTACTCCAAATTTAATTTCTTAACTACCATGTATAATTAGTATTTAGGATAGTACATTTATCATTACAATTGGCTCCCAAGAACAGGAATTACTTATAACTCAACCTTATGCACACACACACACACACACACACACATACATACATATATATATATATATGGTAAAATATATATATATATATGGTAAAATATAGTTTTAAGGTATGCTATATTTATGAGTTAAAGTGCTTTATATCAAGGATAGAGTATATGTAAATAGAAAAGTGGACACTGAGTTCAACACCCAGCTGTGATACTCTGTTTCATGTTTTAAACACAACACAATCATCACGCCATGTACATTGTGTTTTGGCTTGACTATATATATTGGCCACTGATGCATTATGCGTAAGTTTATTGTTCAAATGGTTATTGAGTGGGCAGTAACAGTTATGCTTTAAATTATTCTAAGGTCTATTCAGTGGAAATTATTGTGGATCTGAATACAGTTTTACATATATATATATATATATATATATATATATATATTTAGCTCTTGAAAATATATAATAATATATTTTCAATTGAGCACTGTTGAATGACAAGATAATTCTAAAAAAAACAACGGTCACCTGTGTAAATGCAAAGCTCTTCAGTAAACTGAATGGAGCACTATGGCTGATTAGCATTTGTTTAAGTTTGTAAAAACAATACTCTAGATTTGGCTGACTCATTCTGTTGAGTTAAGATGGCTCAATGGTAGAAGCTCTGACACTAAATCGGTTGTGTTTCGATCTGGGCTTGAGGCATTCGGATGTCTAGTCGCACTGAGGAGCTGTAATATAGCAAAACATTACTGACATAATTGATATAATATATATATATATATATATATATATATATATATATATATATAAATATATATATATGAGATAATAATATATATTTTTATATATCAAGAACAGTATTGAGGAAATTGTAATTTTGAAACTACCAGCATCTCTCATTCATGCACATATGTAGTCATAACAATGTCAACAAACCCAGTCCAATGAAGTCCTAATGGATAAAACGTGCCACAAGTTTTTACATTTTGTCTTAAAATTTCCTCAATATATATATATATATATATATATATATATATATATATATATATATATAAATGAATTTTAACAGCATTTTTTAATTTAAGTAGATTTTATTAAAAACCTCAAAGTTTGATTGAATAATTTTATTGATTTTCTATTGTTTTCATACAAAATAAAAAACTATAGGTTTGTGAAAATTGTCACTACATACGCTAGTGCACTTTCCATCTTCATTTTTTACTTTAAAAAATGAAATTATATTATAGGTTTGTAATTAAAAAAAACAGTGAAGTATTTTTTTTACTGGCTGCCCATTATGATATTTCATGTTTAGAACATTATAGTTTTAAATCATGTTCATGGCTTCATTTCACATGCCACTTCCAACTAATGTAAAGCCACTTTTGTCAATGACAGACATAAAAGGAAAACTAATTTAATAAATATACATTATTTTTCTCACTGGTAACATAACTCTGAGTTTCAATCCTCAGATGCTGATTGGTAACTCAGTTATCAAACAGCACCTGAAAATTGCGTTGTGCTACTGGTGAGGAAAAAAAATGTATATTTATTATTAATTTATAATTTATAGCTCTGTTATTTTACATCGGTCACTATTTTATTAACACAACACTCAATGTTCAATATATATATATATATATATATATATATATATACAGTGTGTGATGGATAAATTTTCATGTAAATTATGCAAAAATGAAAATAAGATTGACATCTCATTTTAACAGATATATTTACAAAATTGCAAAATATATCTTGAAATACTAAAGAGTAAATTTGTTCAATAAAATCACCATTGGCTTCAACCATGTCCTCCAGACAACTTCAGAATCACTTGCAACTCTTCTGGATGGTCTCCATGTTTAAGTTGGTGAATACTGCTATAATTCTTGCATTCACTTCATCTTTTGTGTTAAAAGGAGTTTTATTGGTTTCTCACTCAACTGAGCACCACACATAATAATCAAATATGTTGCAGTTTGGATAGTTAGGTAGACAGATGTAAGGGGTGATGTGGTCGCAGAAATTGTCTGACACCCATGCTTGTGTAGCATGGTGCAGAATCCTGTTACCAGATGTAGTGTCTTTCCAACAGCCACTCTCTTGACCCAGGGCAGTACTACCTCCTCAGGGCATTTGATGTAGGCCTCCATGTTGAGTCTGAGGCCTTATGGGAAAATGAATGGAGACATAACCATCACTAGTGATCACTCCAAACACCACGATAGATGACTGGATATATCATCCAACTCTTTCCAAGTCCTCAGATTGACACCCAAATACTCTATGTTTGTATGAATGCCATGCAGTACAGCATGATATTTTCAAATTTCTGATGGAGTGAATTGCGTCATGGTGCTCTTTTTCTCATAGATGGTGCCCAACTGACCCTACTTTACTGTGCAGTTGACAGAATCAAAAATAAACAACACACATGCATGAAATTAAAAATGACAACAATTTACCCATCACATCCTATAAATATATATTATGAATTTAATACTTAAATAATAATAACTTGATGATAGGAATACTTTTGTCCAGCACCCTAAGATGTTACAAAAGCAAAATATTGACCTGAGAACCTGTGTCATGTTCTTAATAGCCTCAAAAGATCTAGACTATCATATGGAGGTATTGCATGGCATCCAATTCATTTACAAATGTATAAACTATAATTCATATACAGCTGTTTTGTCAGTTTAATTATTACAAATGGTATCAATTGAATAAATCCTTTAATTCTTTAGAAAGAAAATCTTTCATCAGACTCTATTGACAAGCACTGCAAAATTACCAAGAACTTTACCAAATAAGAAAAACCACATCACTTCTAAAAGCAGCAACAACTAAAATCACAGTACATATAATAAGAAGGGAAAATAATGATATAAACAAGATGCTGACCTTCCACACAGCCTTAAACAAAAAGTCAGGAAGGAAACTCCCATAAGTACTAGAAAGAGTGATATGTTAATGGACTTAATTAGACATGGAATGAGAACAGTCTACCACTTAGATTAAATAAAGGATTCAGTTTGGAATCTCCAGCAGATTACCTGGATCGTGATAATAACGACAAATATGGCGACAATAGGCTGCATGTCAATAATGTAAATTGTTATTTAATAAAGTTAATGTTGAAAATAAAAAAGAATAACCTATTGTTTTAATGAATGAACTTGAAGGGAGAGCTATCCAGTAAGTTATTTGGGATCATTTCCAAAACCATATTTCACTTTCAAATAAAAACATGTTGCAGTTGTTATGCAACAGAAAAAAATTATCATTTGACAACTCATGGTATGATAATAGTAATAAAGACACAGCTTTAAACAAACAACAATAATTGTTACAGAAAAGTAAGGAAAGGAATGAACTTCATCATTGAAGTTAACAAGCATTCAACACTATCTTCAGTTGATGCCTCTGAAGTACTTGCATGCCATGTGTTTTACATGGTGGAAAAAAAAGGGTGTGTGTTGTTATTCCTGAAATTAAAGGAAAACGAGGGTGAGGCATTCAAAAATGACACCACCTGTAATTTTAGTCAGAGACAGTAATCCAACATAGGATAATCAACTGAAAAAAAGACAGGGATGAATTTCTTTATCTTCTTCCTTTCCTTTTCTTTTTACTTCATTGTACAGCTTGTTTTTCTTTTCTTGCTCTTCCATTTTTTTTAATCTTTCTACTGTGTTCCTTTTTATTTATTCTTCCTTTTTTTCTCACATTTCTGCATCTTTCTCCTCCTCTTTCTCTTTCTCTTCTTCTTCATCTCTTCTGCTTCTTTTTCTCATCTTTCTCTTATTCTCCCATCTCCTTTTTCTTTCTTTCTTTCTTTCTTTCTTTCTTTCTTTCTTTCTTTCTTTCTTTTTACTTTTCTTTTCTTTTCCTTCTCTTTCTCTTCTCATTTCTTACTTTCTTCCTCTTTCTTCTCCTTCCCTTTGTCTTCTCTTTTGCTTCTCTTCTCTTCTTTTCTCCTCCACTTCTTTCTCCTTCTTCTACTCTTTCATCTTCTCCTTCATTTTCTCCTCTTCCTTCATTTTTCTCTTTCTTCTTCTTCTTCTTCACCTTTTCTTCTTCTTCTTTCCTCCTCCTTCTCTTTCTTTTTCTCTTCTTCTAGTCATTTTGAGACTTATAAATGCCATTGATCTAAATATACCATCAGAAGCTCTTTTATTCTTACATTGTTGCCCGACCAATTTGGGTGTAAGCTAACCCAGGAAAATAGGAAGTGGACTTGACATTTAATTTTTAGCAGGTCATCTTAGACATAGTTAGAATCTTGGTATGTGTTTGTGGGAGTTAGCTACAGACTTCTCTGATGTATCTACTGACCTAGGAAATAGAGGAATGCATTTTGGTATATGTTTATTTATTTGTGAGAAGGCTGAAATTAGGTGAAATATATACAAAGTATATGTGTTTCTACATTTGAGTGGATGTGTCTGGCTAAGCTGCTCTTAGAATAATCAAAATGTTTTTATCTTTCTGCAAAGTTTGTAAAATGGAAACTCTTGTAATTGATCCTCTGTTTTAAGCAGCGCACATTGTATATGTCTGTAAGATAACTCAAGAAGAATTTGATATGAAATTTGGTTGCTTTATAGAGTAATTAGATTTGGGATTCTTGAGCATTTTAAAAGGTGAGACTTCATATTAGTGCTGAAAATGATTTGAATGAATTTATCTAAAGATGTAATGAAATTTATTTAAATGACTTTTTTCTTCAGTATCGGTCTATATTTCTGAGATGAGGTATTATGTACACTATTTACATTATTTGGACTATTGTCCTCATCTTTGTCACCATATTTATTACGTTTCAGCCGTTGTACGCTCTGGCCTTCTTCAGACTTTTCTCTTATAGGAAATTATGTCCAACTTGGAACATGAACAAGTTTTTTGACTTAAGGAGGAAATGAACTGAGATTGTGAAGTTTTTGATTTATTATCAAAAACTTTAAGAAATGAAGAAAAAAAAAAAGAAATTGGAAAAGAAATAAAAACAAAATGATGGGAAGCAAACTAAGAAAAGTAAAATTGAAATGAAAAGAAGAAATATGATGGCAATAGGGAAAGAGGAAGAGAGAAAGAGAGAAAGAGAAGAAAATAGAGAGAAAGAAAAAATGAGAAATTGAAAGAGATTAAGAGATAGGAGAAAGTGAAGGAAATAGAGAAAGAAAGAGAAAGAAAGATATGGAAAAAGAAAAAGAGAGATGGAAAGAGAAGAAAAAGGAGATAGAGAAAGAGGGAAACAGAAGCAAAGAAAGAAAGTGGGAGGGAGAAAGAAAGAAAGAAAGAAAGAAAGAAAGAAAAGACAAAGAAAGAAAGAAAGAAAGAAAGAAAGAGGGAGACAAAGAAAGAAAGAAAGAAAGAAAGAAAGAGGGAGACAAAGAAAGAAAGAAAGAAAGAAAGAAAGAAAGAAAGAAAGAAAGAAAGAAAGAAGGAGACAAAGAAAGCAAAGAAGAAAGAAAGAACAGATATGGCCTAAAGTAGTAAAGTAAAATTAAAAAGAAATATAATGGCAAAGATGGATACAGATAGACACAGAAAGAGAGAAACAGAGGAAAAATAATTGAAATAAAGAGAAATACAATAACAAAGAAAGAAAGGAAAACTAAAAAGAAAGTGAGGGATGAAGGGTGCTAGAAAGAAAGAAAGAAAGAAAGAAAGAAAAAAAAAGCATAAGAACCAAAGTAGGAAAAGTAGAATTGAAAGGAAATATAATGATGGCAAAGACAGAAGAAAAACAGGAAGTAAAAGAAAGAAGTTAAAAAAAAGTTACCAGCAGACAGGAAGGAGAGAGAGAAAAAAGAATGGTAAACACAAGATGGAAGGCAAAAAAGAGAAGAAAGAAAAGAGGATGATGATGTGAATGATGAGGAGGTAAAGAATGAGTGGGAGGAGCAAGAGAGCTTTGTTAAATAACTGTTTGCTGCTGACAATGTTTTAGATCATTTAGATGCCTGAAAGTCTTTTAAGCGTTTCATTTCAGGGGCCAAGTTCTTTCTGTGTCTCTTTCTTTGCTGGCATTTCTCACCAGTCAAATGTGTGTAAACACCAAGCAATTATGGCTTGCCATTCGCCCATTTCCACAAATTGCACATTGCTTGGCAAATTAGACATTTTGTGGACATTTCCTTGCATTGTCTATTGTTACAAAATTTCCCCTTGGCAGATAATACAAATGGAACAAGGCTGCCAACTCTCTATCTATATATCTATCTGTTTCCATATCTGTCTCAGTTTACTCATATCTATTTACCATATTTGACGGCATATGACACCCACCACTACCACGAATGCTTATTTACATTTAATATTACGGTATTATGGAGTTAGGTTAATTACAAAGACTGGTAGCCTATAGCGTCTGGGTAAACACTAGCCTACCAGATACCTTAAAATAGTTTACTTATTGTCAAACTATAAGTATGTTAACAAATTCTTTCAGCAAAGTAACATTTGTCCCATCTTGTAAATTATATATATATATATATATATATATATATATATATATATATGGTGGGTGCCTAATGGTTAAACGAGCATGACCATCACTGTCATTTTAGCGTAATTTGTTATTGTTGTTCATGAAACCAACAGTGACTTTTGAAATCAGCAAGTGACTTACATACCTTTTTCACAGACATCTTATATATAAAGTACAGTGTATGTGTGCGTGTTTGTGCATGTGCATGTGTGTGTCCAAGCAATTCCTCTGATCACACTGGTCTGATTTCAATGATTCATAGCTCATTCAAAAGTCCTAGAAAAGTAAGTGCAGGGACCGATTTTTGTTGAACTCAGATTCAGGGTTGCCAGATTATGCGAGGTTAAAAATATATATTAATATATTATACTAACCATTATCATTGCTTTTATGGATCAAGGAGAGTAACTCTTTTCCTTTTGTATCTAAAATTGCAGTGCATGTTTTTAAAAGCAGCTCTATCGGGCGGCATTTAAGCTAGCTCTTGTGGAGGACTCTTGGTTTGGCCATCATCACAATAGCTAGGGAGTAGTAGATGCAGTAGGCATCAATAAATTACAGAAGAACTCAAAATTGATTGCTGCATTTAAGTATTGAATTAATGTTTAAGTTTACCTTTTAAAAACAACGATAATTCTTCTGCTGCCATTTAATTTAAAGACGATTCAATGTACATAGATCCTTATTTTCAGACAGAACAGGGGACAATTTATAAGATAAAATTAATATAGTGTAAAAATGGGAAAATAGAAATTAGAATTAGTTATACATTCAATATTTGAAGAGTTAGAGAAACATAATAGCTAATTAAGTAAAACCTATATTAAGGAATCTACATGAATAAATGTAAAATTGGAGCTCAGTTCTCCCACAAATTCTGAGATTAAAAAGCCCCAGCTCTACTTTATATAATTTGGGATTTACTCAATCCCCCATGAGGTTGTATTGTGAAATAAGGTTGATTTAATGTGGGGTGCCTGAACATGTACACTTGGGCTAGGAGCAAAAATTCCCCAAGCCCCTGCAACCGTCAGTTGCACTGGCCTCAGTGTGAGCACCGATCCCTCTCACTGGTGCAATGAGAGAGCATGGCCTAGGGCAGCTGTTCTCCAGGGCTGGGCACTGCTCAGTATAATTTTCCCCAGTTAGACGAAGCCACCCTGGAGCACACTCTGCCCAAAGACAGAGATGCAACTGAGAGATGATAAATAAACATGTTACAAACTACTTTATAGTAATTTGTATTTACTTGACAGCCCATGAGGTCATATTGTGACATAAGGTTGATTTAATGTGGGGAGCCTGAGTGTGTACACCTGGGCTAGGAACAAAAATTCCCAAGCACCCCCAACGGTTGGTTGCGCTGGCCTTGGTGTGAGCACTGATCCCTCTCTCTGGTTCAATGAGAGGATGTGGCCTCCAGCAGCTGTTCTCCTGGACTGGGCACCTTTCAGTATAATTTTCCTCAGTTGTAACTCTGTCCTTTGATGGAGTTGTCTCTGAGTGCACTCATCCCAAAAACAGAGACGCAACTGAGAGATGATAAATAAACGTTTTATGAACTACTTTATAGTATTTTACACACTAGGTATTTACTCTGTCTCCCCACTAAGATCAGTTGTGACACAAGGTCTTTTTTAAGGTGGGAACCCAAGCATGTACACATGTGGCAGGAACAAAAATTGACCACAGCCCCGGCAGTTGTGCTGGCCTTGGTGAGAGAACAAATCCCTCTCTTTGGTGCAATGAGAGAGCGCTGCCTCAGGCAACTCTTCCCCAGGGATGAGCACCTCTCGGTATAATTTTCCTCAGTTGTGACTCTGTCCTTTGATTGAGTCATCCCTGAGAGCACTCTGCCCACAGACAGAGACATGACTGAAAGATGATAAATAAACATGTTACAAACTACTTTATAGTAATTTACACAGTATTTACTTGAATCCCCACTGAGTCAGGTCGTGACACAAGGTTGGTTTTTAACATGGAGACCCGAGTATCTTCACTCAGGCCACTGGTCTTAGCTGGTCATAGCTTGTCCAAGCTGGTCAGGGCCGGTTCAAGCTAGTCACAGCTGTGATACCACCAGTACAGGGACGGATCCCTGTCACCGTTAATTATCAGAATGTGTATACCACATGAGAGAGAGGAATTTACACTGTATTTACTTGACACCCCCACTGAGTCAGGTTGTAACACAAAGTCATTTTTTTTTAACATCAGGACCCGAGTGTCTTCACTCAGGCCACTGGTCTTAGCTGGTCATAGCTTTTCCAAGCTGGTTAGAGCTGGCCTAAGCTAATCATAGCTGGTCATAGGTTGTCTAAGCTGGTCAGAGCTGGTCCAAGCTAGTCATAGCTGTAATACTACCAGTGCAGGGACGGATTCCTGTGACCGGTAAGTATCCGAATGCATATACCCCTCAAGAGAGGGGTTGATTTACTCCCCGCTGAGTCAGTTTGTGACACAAGGTCAGTTTTTTAATGTGTGGATCCCTGCACATGGCAAGTATAAGAATGTGTATACCACTCGAGAGAGGTGTTTACACACTAAAAGCTCAATATCTGTATTATATATTATCTACTTCTTAATTCTGTTTAGGAATCTTATATAGTGCAGAAAAGTGTTTGAAATTTGCATTTTACTTGGCCTTCCACAAGTTGGCATCTATTTGTAAAACTTTCGTTAACTATAAGAAGCCAATCTATGAATGAAATGTTCATCTAAAATTTTTGTTTCAAAGATTTCAAGTAGTGAATATATCTTACTTTGCGAATTTGTGTGAATGAATGGCAAAACTGGGATAAAAAGGGGTGGTAAAAGGTCAAAAGTTATTTGAAGTAACAAAAGACAGGAAGTTGTGGAGAGCCATGATTGCACAAATCTTGAAGGGAATTGTGTGAAAATATCTAGAAAGAGAGTTAGGCAAGGGTCAAAAGTTACTTAAAGCAACAAAAGACAGGAAGTTATGGAGTGCCATGATCGCATAACTCTTGAAGGGAATTATGTGAAAAGATGCAGAACATGGATAAAGAAGGATGGTAAAGTCTTAAAAGTTACTTAAAGCAACAAAAGATAAGAAGTTGTGGCATGCTATGATCACGGACATCCTGAAGGGATACGGTGCAGAAAAGAGGAAATTACTTAGCTTTCACTGTCGTATTGGAGAGTAGACATTATATAGCATTCCAGCTCTCTTTTAATTAAGAAACAGAATGGTTCAATTAGCATTTTAAATGTACATTCCTTTTAAGTTAAAATGGTAATTGAAAATTGCTGGGCTGTTAAGCTCTCTGTGACCAAACCGTCTAAGGCATGCCAGATCAAATGGTTTCTCTTACAAACAGTGGAACAGGTTCAAACCATGCCAGTGAGCATATTTTTTTTAATACTCTTAAAAGCATAGGCTGGTAGATGTAATTCACATTGTTTAAAAAAAAAACCAGGGCATCTACTCAAACATGTGTATCCACTACAATATAACATTTAAGTTACATGTTTATTATAATAATCTGGTAATAATCAACCACAACTACCAGTTTCTTGTACACTAATGTATGCAATATCAAGTGGTTGGTACTGGTCTGTCCGGTGATATGGGCATTTCTACCCCCTTGGCTAACTCAAGAGGTTACAATGAGGGAAACTAGCAGTCAATTATGTGTATGCCAGATTATTTGCCATTGCAGTACTGAGCATTTTTTTCTGGTGTGCCATATTAGTATACTTTTTTGGGAGTTACCTACTTGTGTGTTGACTTGATTTGTTTGTTTAATGGCATATCAACTCCTTATGGGTTATTTAATGCCGAAATTTAATTTTCTTGGGAGCTTTGAAGTAACAAAAATATATGTTATTTTGCTTTCACAATTGAATACATGGTAGATGATACTCAGCCTTTGCATACATATATGTTTCTGTGGACATAAATATTGTGTTTTATGTTGTAGTTTTGTTGAAATAATATTTTTGAATACAGTTTAATTTCTCTCAAAAATTATAGGGTATTATATAAATTAATATCATGAAAGTTCTTTCATGGTGATTGTTTGGTTGATTGGTTAGTTTATCATGTTCAGTGGAACACCAACCCTGACAGGCCACACAATGCTAAAATCTAAATAATTTGAACACAATTTCATGGCCTTGGCCAAACATATTTTGAAACCAACAGTAAGCCTTCAATTACAGATAAAATGTATTGCTGATCATTTTGCTTTAAAAATGTATTGTTGGTAATTTTACTATAAGTAGGTATTGTTATTCTTTTTTATATGAAATATATTGCTGGTATATTTACTATAAAAATGTATTTTGATAATTTCATAGTTTTTTGTTTGGAGAGTTCATTATTTGCTCATAGTTGGGAACCCTAACAAATGCTACCCAATCCTGGGTATGACGATAAACTACATCCGCGTCCTGGGTAAGACGATAAACTACATCCAGCAGCAAAGCCTCTGAAAAAAGAGGTTTTGAGGAGCATGGAACTACCTCTTAATTGCTGGTGTTCCCAGGTCCACTCTGACCTGGGGTGGTAGCACCTGTTAGGGTCCCAGCTATGGGCAAATAGTTAACCCTCAAACTGGAGTAAAGTCACTATGAAAGTGTGAAAATAGGTTTTAAGAAATACTTTGTAAAAAAAATTATTGGCAGCAGTAAATTTTTGAAGGAAAAAAAAAATATTACCAACAATATGTTTTTGGAGAAAAAATATTACCAGTAATACTTTTTTAAAAAATTATTACCAGCAATACACTTTTGAAGTAAAAATATTACCATAAATAGATTTTTAACAAAACAAAATATTAACAGCAATAAAAAATTTTTGGCATTACATAACCCATTGAGGTTGATATGCCATAAAACAAACCAAACCAAACCAAATGCTACCATTCTGAATCAGGTGGACCTGGGAACAACAACAATTAAGAAGTGGTTCCACACTCCTCAAAACGTCCAATCTCTTGATCAGAGGCCTTGCTGCCAGATGTAGTTTATTATTATACCCAGGACTTACTTGTGTGTATTAATATATACAGGGACTCTAAGGACCTGATATTGTTAAGCACTTTTTCACATTTAACATTATGCTTCTTTGCTAAGGTCTAGTTGCGCCTGTGTTATTGAGCAGTTTTTTAGACTTTTGTAAATGAAGTGGGATCAAATACAGATCAAGTATGGATCAGAATCCAACAGAATGACAGGCTAATGAACAAGTAGGAAACATTGATAAATCCAACTTTTACTAAAACTTCATCAGAAATAAGATATGGAAAAAAAAATTTCAGTTATTTTTATTTTTTGATGCTTTATTTTTATTAGTTAAGTAGACATCACATGCATTTGACTTGTCAAGCAACATTCATGGGTATAATCTATGTGTGTAAGTGTATCATAATTCTAGTTTGTCTATGCATGATTTGGATGATAACATGTATATGCATGTGTGTCTAGTAGGCTTTATTTATGTTTGGAGGTTGTCTTCATATTGAATTGGGGACGTTTTCACTTTGACACCAGTCGTGGTCATGATAATTAAGTATATGTTAGATTATTTAAGAATTGATTTAATAAAGGTTGGTGATGTAAATTTATAATTTGTAAATTTATTCTGGTGTTTTGTGGACTTATTTTTTAGTTAAATAGTGGTGAATTTTCAGCTATTAGATCCTTAACCATATGAATATTTACCCTCTGTGATATTTAGTTGGTGAGCACATTATTTTTTTCCACACCTACCTTTATTGTAATAACTTGAGTGATCTGAGGGTGTATAAATGTCCATATCACGGAACAAGCTAAATACTGTCCCCCTGAGGACTGCATGTATTAGCATGCAAGAAACTCATTGTTTTGGTCTATCATGAGTATGCCAGATTATTGTAATAAATATGATATAATATTTGGTCTGTCATGAGTATGCCAGATTATTGTAATAAATATGATATAATATTTGGTCTGTCATGAGTATGCCAGATTATTGTAATAAATATGATACAATATTTAAATATATAATATTTGGTCTGTCACGAATATGCCAGATTATTGCGATAAATATGATATAAAGCCCTGCCATTGTGGTATTAGCAATTTTCCCATTTTCTCAGCCTATAATTATAAAACTATAGAAAATAGAAATGAGATAAAAACAACAGTGTTTTCTGTACAGTGTGTGATGGGTAAATTGTTACCATTTTATATTTTTCATTTTGCATATGTATGTTATTTGTTTTTGATTTTGTCAACTGCACAGTATAGTAAGGTCAGTTGGGCACCATCTATGAAAAAAAGAACACCATGACACAATTCACTCCACCAAAAATTTGGAAATGGCATGCTGTACTGCTTGGCATTCACACCAGATGCTCCAGTACAAACATTTCAGAGTAATTGGGTATCAATCTGAGGACATTGCAGAGGATTCAGAAAGAGTTGGATGAGTCTAATGGTGATTACAAAGGTATGGCAGCTCGGAAAACTCACTCTGTTTGGATAAGAAAAGGACTCCCAAATTTGTTAGTGAGGGACTCAGACTTAACACTAAGGCCCACATCAAATGCTGTCAGGAGGTAGTGCTGCCTTGGGGCAAAATGGTGGCTACTGGAAGGCCTTATGTCTGGCAACAGGACTCTGCACCATGCCACACAAGCAGGACAATTTCTGTGACCACATCAGCCCTTACATCTGGCCACCTAACTCCCTTGATTATTATGTGTGGGATGCAATTGAGTGAGAGAGCAACAAAACTCCTTGTAAAACCAAAGATGAACTGAAGGCAAGGATTATGGCAGCATTCACCAACTTAAACAAGGAGACCATCCAAAAGAGTTGCAAGAGATTCCAAAGTTGTCTGGAGGCCGTAGCTGAAGCCAATGATGATTTTATTAAATAAATTTAATCTTTAGTATTTCAAGATATTTTTCAATAATTTCACTAAATATATCTGTTAAAATGAGATGTCAGTGTTATTTTCATTGTTGCTTAATTTAGAAGACAATTTATCCATCACGCCCTGTATATATAAGATAATGGTATCATCTTAGAATGCAAAGTTAAGAAGTGCCAAATTTGGCAAATCATGCTATTTTGAAAACAGCAACAATTGACACCAAATTTCAAGAGATAATAATTCCTTAACTAAGATTTTAAGGAAGCTAAACATTTAGGGTTTTTAGTTTCTCATAGGTGGATACAACATCATAAAATTCATCAAAATCTGAGATGGTACCCATGGAACCATTGGATGAGTTGATATAGAATTAATACACATGCACATATACACATATATACATACATGCACATGCACATAAAATCTGCTCTTTGCTCTCTTGATTGTACAATCCATTCCTTCTTAGTCAAAGTGCAATTCAAACGTGAACACTGAAAGAAAAGACCCCCTCCCAATATTGTTTTTGTTTTTTGAGTATTTTTGAGGGGGAGCTGCATTCAGTTCTGAATAACAATGAAACTCAATAAGTGGGAGAGACAAGCAGAGGAATGGTAAATAAAATTGACTTGGTGAGGTGTTGGGGGGATGATTGCAATGGGGGGTGTAGAGAATAAGTGAAAAAAAGAGACTGAGACAGAGAGAGAGAGAGAGTGGTAGGGGAGGAAGTAAGCAGGAAAAAGGGAGGAGGAAAATAATTAAGGAACAGAGGGAAAGAGATAAATACATATGGTAAGCAGGTTTGTATGGAAGTCAGAAACATAGGCTGTTTTCTGCTTTAGCTATTCTACCGATTTTACAAGTATACAAATGTATAAGATGTCCCAAAATGGTCTAAGAAATATTTATGCTATTATTTTGTCAATAATCTTTTTCTCGTAATAAAGCATTAGTTTCTATACATTGTTAGAATTTATCCTCATTTTGAACTTCCAAACCTCAAGTGGAACACATGTATACAATCCATTGCAAAAGATGCTGAAAAATTGGCCAGTTCATTGTACTGCACCAGAAAGAACCTGACTCCTTCTGCAATAATTTATATTTACAAGAGTCAGATTAAATGAAAAATGGAGTATTGATGCCATATCTGAGCTGGAGCTGCCCAATCTTCACTTTCTGAGCTTGATAGAGGTCAAGGTGATGGCTTTGTGGAGAATGACATCCTGCAACCCCATTCCCACAGATGCAACATCACAAACCTATCAATACTCTATTACCATTTCCATGGCAGATTTTCAGGCAAGCTCTATTCTTTAGTTCTACCAGTTCAGACCTTTAAGGCTAAGACCTACCATGGTATGTCCACAGTTGAACCACCCTCATTTTGTCATATTCCAATTGTAAAGAGGAAGTTTTGCTTAGACAGCTTTTTCCCCAACAACTATTACTTTGTGAAACAGACACTGGCATAGATGCTTCTTTGAACACCATATTCTTAAACTCTTCAAGTGAAGAGTCAATCGTTAACGATACTCCATTTTCTCATAATCTTCACTTTCTACTCTTACTGAGAAATCAGATAGATAGCCAACTTCAAATTCCAGTCAAGTCTATTATATTCACTTATACAAAAATACCCTTGGGAAATGTATGAACCCATCTCATCTCATCTCTCCAGCTATGGGTTAAAGAGTGGGATTTGTATCTGGAAAACTTATTGTTATTCTCAAAAAATTGTTAATGTAATATTAACTTACAAAAAAGGAATTATTCTTACAATCCAATAAAAGTTTTGGCTTTAATTTTTTTTTAAATCATTTTACCTGAATAAAGGTGATAATACCATGAGAACAAAGGATTTTACAGGCAGTGAGAAGATTTTAGTGAGGAGAAGTGAGGAAAAAGAAAATAAAGGAATAGGGCTTATAATAAGACAGAAGATGTCAATTGATGTTTGCATTTAAAGTTTTGAATATTGTAGGTGACAAGGAAACAAGAAATTGGAAGGGAGTTCCACAGGCAAGAAGTATGAGAAAAGAAAACTATTAAGATAGAACATATAGTTAGCTTGAGTTAGTTCAACAGTAAAACATTGAGACCTAATCACCAATCTAATAGCACACTTAAATCCATGTAGTCGAGGCACTAAGGAAAAAAGCTCATCAAAACAGTTGCCATAAAAATATTTGTAGAAAAGACAGAGAGAAGCCACATCACATCAGTGGGAAAGCAATTAAAGTCAAGATGCCATTATTGATTTCATAACAGAATCTTTGAATTTTATCAAGAATCTTGAGATATATCGTAGGAGCAAGAGACCAGATATGGTAACAGTATTCAGTGCAGTGACAAATGGTAGATTTATAAATGTGCAAGAGAGATTCTAACAAGAAGAATTGTCTGGCATGACACCGCAAACCAACATTCCTAGCAGTAGACCTAGCAATTGATTCCATATAATCACTCCACTTCATGTCAGTAGAAAACATGAGTCCAAGAAAGTGCAAAGTGTTGCTCTCCTGGAGTTTAGCATCAGTCATGCTGATGTCAGGGAGAAAAGGTTTGTTAATGGTGGTTAAATAAAAGCAGTTTTGTTTTGGTGGCATTAAAATTTACAAGCCATTCTTTAACCACTGATTGGATGTACTTTTCCAGAACAGTAAACTTGTCAAACTTGCTACTAAGACTGGAGTAAATAGTTATGTCATCTGAATAGATAACTAGTTGGGAACTGATAACATACGTCCAAGGATAAAGACCTGGGAGACCCCTACATTAATATGCAATTAACTAGAAGCATGGCCATTCAACATGAACATCACTATACGATTTGTTAGGCATTATTGGATTAGGTCAAATATTCATCCAAAGACACTGTAGCTATTATGGATAAGGCCAGCATACCAAACCTTGTCAAATAGAGATATCTAAGGATATAGCCTAAGCTTCACCATTTTTATCTAAAGTTTGATAGACAAATTCAGTGATGACTTTTAACACATTGGTGGTAGATCTGGAGAAACTGAAGCCATATTTTTTATTGATTAGAGCCTCTAATACTTTGCCAAAAATAGATAAGAGACTAATAGGGCGATAATTTGAGAAATCAGATGGTACCCCAGATTTCTTAAAGACAGGGACTACAGAGAAGGACTTCCAAAATGTTGGAAAGCAAGAAGTAGTGAGACATTGTAAAATTTGAAGAAAGCAAGAGCCAGTTAAAGAGCACATTTCTTTAAGAAAATTTCAGGGATATCATTGAATCTGAAAGTCTTGTGGGGATGTAGCTTAGGAATGATAGCAGAAACCACAAATGGAGTTATGTGCATATCATATCTGTTCAAGAGGGAAAATCAGGCAGAGTTACTCAAGAATGGAGTTGAAAGAGAACTTTCAGGCAAAGCACTCTGCTTTATCTGCAGCAGAAGACTACTTTAAATCAATTGAAAAGAAGAACTGAGGATTTGCTTTTGTTCAGTACACTCTTGCGGAGCCACTTTAGTCACTAGAACCAAACAAGTGTCTCATTCTATTAGAGAAGAGTGACTTTGCTGTTTTGAGGACAGGCTTACATTCATTACAAGTAGTGACAAAGAGACGTCCGTTAAAATCAGATCTATTGCTCTGGTATAGCCGGAAGAAGTGATTCCTGTCGACTATAGGCAGGACAGAAGCAAGGAGAAGATTGTGGTTTCACTTGGTATTTCCATGCTGGCACAAAAGCTTCAATGCCAACTTTCACCTAGGCAGAGAACTCAGTTGCACATTTCTCAAGACGATGATTAAAAATATCATCATAATTGAGGAAATCATGAAATGAGCCCCAATCAGTGCATTGATAACAGAAAGATGTTCTGTTAATAGAAGGTTCTTGCTGATAGGAGGGTGGAAAATGATATAGATACTACTGCAGGATCGGTATTACCAGAGCTGCAGAATATGACATGATTTTGGGGAGGAAGAGATCAAATATAGAAGCATGTCTGTTAGAGTTGCTAGGAAAACGCATGGGGAAGTCTATTATTTCAGTGAGAGATTGAGCAGTTGAGAAGTTCAAAGTCTGGATGCTATCAAGGTCAGTGGCATTAGAGGGATGAAGACATGAACACAAAGATACTTGCAAGCAAGTGAAGAGAGAGGGCTCTATCTATACTGTCAGAAATTCTATATAGCAAGCAACAGTCATGAGAGGAAGGGAAATGGTAAAGGAATAAAAGATAACTGACTGAGTTTAATAGTGAAAGTCAGAAGCACATGTAAGAACAATCTGAAGACTCTTTCCTTGCCAGTGAGAGATGGTTGCAAACAAGGACATACATGTAGACACTAGAGACCTTTCAAAAGAGAAGAAAATAACCAGGAACAAAGAATCCAGTGGAAGAGATTGAATGCTTCAGATTAGTTTCACAGAGAGCGAGAATGTCTGTAGAACATTCTAAGAGAAATGATTTTATACTGCAAAAATTACTATGATCACCACACATATTGACAAAAGAAAGGTTGAAGGGCATAGGTGTTTTTTTGTTTGTTTTTTTTTTTACAAGGTGGCTTAGTTTTATTTCCTTTATTTGTTTGATATGTCAAAAAATAATCAGTGAATCAACCTACGCTTGTATTCATATCACACACCTCATTCAGTTAATCTCGACTTTGCCATGTTCACATTTTTGTTTTTCCTTCCCCCTTGCCGTCACTTTTCCTAATTCAATCCTGCTCAAATTTATGTAAGTTTTATACTCCACTGCAAATTAGACCTCTTTCTGATTCCCTCTACATGTTGGATGGGTGTGAGCACTGAGAAAGCAAAACCCAAAATAAAAAAGTTGTCTTCTGCACAGGGGCTCTGAGCATCATATCCAACTCACAAAACGAATCCCCTAAAAAATGTAAAATACAACATAAAAGAAGCCCATCATGAATGCTGCCACCAGAGAAAAAAAGATGTGCTCAGGAGCTACCAAATTTGCCTTAAAGAAAGCCTCTCATAATCAACTGAAACAGAAACAAACAGAAGGTGGCCAACATGACAGCTGTTGGCGCCCAGTGTGCTTTCAACTGTTGTGGGAGGTTCAAAGTTTGTTTTTATTAGTTTTTCTCTTTATCTCCTGTTTCTTTTTTATTCTTGTATTTCTTTTCTTTTTTCCTGTTTTTGTTTTTCTCTGTTTTCAAATCTTTTCTTCTTTTTTTATTTCATGTTTTTTTTTCTTTTATTTTCATTTCTTTGTTCTTCTTTCTGGCAGACAATCATTTCATTTCCTGATGGTATGCTTAGATTTTAATTTTAGTGTATCCCAGTCAAATCAAATATTTCCTCAGCTTTTTAAATTAGTTTTTTATGCAGTCTTGAGCATCTTTGTATCATAAACCAGCTTATTATTTTATGGATTATTGGGTCTATTGGCCTAATTTACTATGTTCTAATAAAAACATTGCAGCTGATGCATTCTTCTTCTTTCCTTATCTATCTATCTATCTATCTATGTATCTATGGATTGATCTATCTATCTATCTATCTATCTATCTATCTATCTATCTATCTATCAGTCTTAGGTATCTATCTATCTATCTATCTATCTACCTATCTATCTTGGGTATCTGTCTACTGTTACAAACCAATTGTTGCAACACAAAATATAAAAAAAATGGTAAAAAAATGACTTGTTGCCAAAGGATATGGCCAAGATTGCCACTCCATTAGTGGTGGGTTCTCCCGCAGGGTCAAATAAGCATGAATAAAGACAAATAACCAATAGTAATGAATGAAAAACACTGGAATAAGATTTAAC